TGAACATGTTTTCACATGTCTAGTATGTCAGAAAGTTAAGGCAGAACATCAAGCTCCTGTGGGAAAACTGCAACCACTTCCAATTCCAGAATGGAAGTGGGAAAGAATCACAATGGATTTTGTATATGGTCTCCCATCATCAAGGGGAAAAGATGCAGTATGGGTTATTGTGGACCGACTGACCAAATCGGCTCACTTTTTACCCATTAGGTGGAAACCATCACTGGAGACTTTGTCTCAACTATATATTAAGGAGATCGTCAGATTGCATGGTGTGCCAATTTCTATTGTCTCTGATCGAGACCCGAGCTTCACATCTCGGTTTTGGCAAAGTTTACATGATGCCTTGGGAACTAAATTACATTTTACTTCAGCTTATCATCCTCAAACAGATGGGCAGAGTGAACGAACCATCCTAACTTTGGAGGAATTACTTCGATCATGTGTAATGCAATGGGAAGAATCATGGATTGACCATTTGCCCTTAATAGAGTTTGCTTACAACAACCAATACCATAGTAGCTTGGGTGTTCCACCATATGAAGCACTTTATGGGAGGAAATGCAGGACACCATTATGTTGGGATGTAGAAGGAGCAAGGCAAATCTTAGGACCAGAGATAGTTCAGATCACAGTTGACAAGGTCAGGGAAATCAGGGAGCGGTTGAGGGTGGCTCAAGATCGACAGAAAGTTTATGTTGACACGAATAGGCGTGAAGTTAATTTCGAAGTGGGTGAGGAAGTATTTCTCAAAGTGTCACCATGGAAAGGGGTGATGAGATTTGGTAAGAAAGGGAAACTTGCACCTCGGTATATTGGACCCTATGAAATCACAGAGAAGATTGGACCCGTGGAGTCTTCTAAGACGCCTTGACGGACTTGGTTGACGACCACTTCGGAGTCACCTTCGACTATCTCGTGGGCCAAGCAATATCCCTTGATGTTGCAACCCGAACGCCAACATAACATGCCCGTCTGACCCACGGATAAAAAGCCCAGACAAACACCCGGAGGCACAAACAGCTGCGTCGATGTTGAACTTCAAAAAGCCTTCTGGTGGAGGGACCCAAGTGGTGGCAGGAAGGAATCGGAGTAGAGAGCTGCGGGGAGGAGGGGGAAGAAGAAGATTGGAGATTTCGAGGACCTGGTTGTAGAACTGTCTGGTTAGGGTACGGACATGAGGTTGGATAAATTCAAAGGTCACTTTACTTCTAGACTTCCATATTCTCCAAAGTAAACAGACGCATTGGAGAATGTGGAATAGGGAGGTCTCGGAGACCATGACATGTCGCCACCATAGACTAAAGTTAACAGTCTGGGCGGTCTCAATAAAGTTGCTCAATCCCACTAAAGTCCACAATATGATGGCTAGGGGGCATCTGAATAATAAAAGTTCAATGCTTTCTCGATGTCTCCAGCAGACATGCCATCGGTTAAGGCAGTTTACTCCACGAGTTTGAAGGGCCACTACTATGGGAAGTATGACTTTGAGGCATTGCCATATGAAGAATCTGAGTACAATTAATATGGTACCAATTAATTTCATAATTATCCATTGGTCCCAATTAATATGAAAAATGGACAAAGAAGGAAATGTTACTAAATCCCTTAATTAATCACCCAATTCCTCCATATTTCAAATCCCAGCCATAAAATAGACACTGGATTTGTTTTACTACACTAGCCCAATAATTGGTCGAGGAGAGGAGCTTGTGCCACTGATACTTTGAAAACCATAAATTAATTAATTCTGAAAGTCAGAAAGTAATTATGAACGTCAGAAATTAATTCTTTCTATCCCATAATTTGATATATAAACCAACCATAAAGGTTGTAAAGCGCCATAAAAGGACCGCTTAAGTGACTCATTAATCACTTGTAACAGATCATTAATCACTTGTAACGTGAAACATCCTGTTACGGCAAATCCCATATTTCGATCGCTAGAAAGTTCGCGATTTAAAATCGAACATTTCGACACTATTTCGGCGAAAATCGGATTATCGATCGATCGGATAAGTATACGTATTAATTATACATATATATAATTATATATATTTTATATATATTAAGCGGCCGGGCCGCATATATATTTATCCCCCTCCCCGTCCATTACGTCTCATCACCATCATAATATTTCCATTCTCGGACCGAGAAACAGAGGCGCACAGGGCACTCGAAGAATTAGATTGCAAAGCTCAATTCTTGAGCTACAGTGATCCAAAAATCCCGTAAGTAATGCCTAATTCATCTATTCATCGTGATTTATCGATTTAGAGTTTTAAAACGAGATTTTGGTTCAGGAATTTCTTGAATTCCCGATAAGCCAAATTAGGGTTTCGGAGTATCCGGAAGCCGGATTGAGCCCAAATTTCATATACGAGCTTCCTGCAGCGAGGTAATCAATCCTCTAGTTCTAATCCCTGAACTTCGGCTATTATTTAGGCCGGGGTCCAAACCGCTGAATTTAGCTCCGGCCAGGGTTTGATGTGTTTTTATCGAGAATTTGACACTAGGCCTAGAACTAATATTGACGGGGATACTGCAGGGGATATTAGGACGGTCTCGGATTTTAATTCGGGGTTCGTTCATGAAATTGACGTTTTAGTACGGGAAGGTTAAATCGGTGTTTGAACGACCAGAACTGGTGAGGGATTAGCACGGCATACCGGGTTTGTCGTATCACGATAATTATATTGATGCTTAGAATTGATCTAGGTGAACTAGAATGGCATGATTAGGGGTGTATGAGCTTTTGTGCTATATGTTGAACCCTGGATTGCTGTATGATATTATTGACTTGCCCTAATCGATATGAACCTTGTTTATGCTGATGATTGTGTATATATTGCAAATTGTGGGCTTGACTGTTAATATGCTTTACGATGGTTCGAGAAGGTGATTAGGTATGATTTTTCATGATTGTTGTATTTGGATGCACAAGTGGGAAAATATATATTCCTTGGTGATATTATGATGTTTAAGGAGGATGACTTGCACGAGGGTTTATCCCGAGGAAGTGCAATTATACGACTCTTGATTTACCTATGTTGAGCCAATTATGGCCAGGGCAAGTACATGTGTAAGTAATGAATTATGATTAAGCAAGATGAAATATGAATCATGTACAAGGATACCAAATATGAGTGTTGTGGTCTCACGGTCAACTACATAGTAATTAGGGCTCCCTATGCTATTACTCTATTATGATATGTATGATAGTCACACCTCTCATGTGGTGGTGACTGAAGAATTCTTATGAGATATGACCACACCCAGAGCGGTGTTGGGGTATGACTACACCCATAGTGGTGTGGGGTATGTATGACCACATCCGACGGGATGTTGGGGTATGTATGACTACATCCGACGGGATGTGGGGTATGTTTCCCGTGAGAGTTATTAGCATGGGAGTAGCCAGGAGCCTATAAGTAAAACATGATAAGATGCATTTGCATAAGTCAAGGTGGTTGAGTCTTTTGCCTATTGGGAGGTCGGAGGGCTGAGATATGATCCTAGTGCTTTGGCTTGTTTGCTAGATGTATGGTAGTAGTATGCTATGTTATGAACTCACGATGCTATGATTATCTCACTCAGCTATGAGCTGACCCTCTTTATCATCTTTCTCTGCTTATGCCATGTGTAAGCAGATCATCAGCAGCAGCAGTAGATAGGTGTATAGGTGGGAGCTGAGCAAGAGTTGAAGGCAAGATGAGGTATGGTCTTCTACTATTCTGTGCTTGGACTACTACTCGGGATTTTGGCCAGTGAACCACACCTTTTTGTAAAAGAATGTTTTGAGAACGTTTTTCATGTGCATACTAGCTTTTGATGTAGTGTAAGATATCCACAGGTGTGGAAAGTTAATGATATGTGTATTATGTGGTTTTGTAAGTTATGACGATTATGGCTTGTATCAGTGTGGTATGCAGGTGTGTAGTATGAAACTGTGACTATGGCTGTGAAAAGCCAATGCATATGGTTGTGAGTATATATGTTTGTGATGAATTATTTTGCAGGATAAGTTGCAAGAACTGTTAGCCCATTACGTGAGTAATTCATGTCGAAATTTTATTTGGGTAAATTTGGATAATTAATGTAACACCCAAGTTTAATTCCGCTGCAATTGTATGAAAAATATGATTAGGCAAAACATATAGGGTAGGGTGTTACATAACAGATCATTAAAGACCCAATAACATCAAATAACATAACTGATGTATTAAAACCCAAATAAACGAACCAATGAGGCCATTAATTGGTTATTTACTTCTCGCCGGAGGAAAATTGATTGCATGGACCGCCGGACCAACAACGTCAGAAATTAATTCTTTCTATCCCATAATTTGATATATAAACCAACCATAAAGGTTGTAAAGCGCCATAAAAGGACTGCTTTAGTGACTCATTAATCACTTGTAACGGATCATTAATCACTTGTAACGGATCATTAAAGACCCAATAACATCAAATAACATAACTGATGTATTAAAACCCAAATAAACGAACCAATGAGGCCATTAATTGGTTATTTACTTCTCGCCGGAGGAAAATTGATTGCATGGACCGCCGGACCAACAAAGTCACCGGAGGCAAGTGTTTCCAGTCGCCGGAGGAGCTTCTCACTGGCCGGGATTCCAAGCTTGCAAACAAACAGAAACGAAGCTAAAGAAATCCATACCACAATACAGTCAGTTCATTCTCCTACTAGTTCCGCTGGGATTCCAACCAAACGGGAAAAAACGTTTAACGAAAGCAAAGACCAAATTGAACTTTTCCTCTTCCTTCAATCGACCAAAACTAATAGGAAACTGAAAAACTTAATTCAATCCGAGAATAAGACCAGAACGCCATTAGATCATCGATTGCAACTTAGGAGGGATCCGAAGTACGAGAGATTAAATTACTGGCAGAGAATCTATTTCGTAACACAAAAGATGCGAAGACATATAAAAGAGGGGAAATTCCGACCTAGGCAACGGGAACGTGGCGTTCGCCGGATGCTTGTTGGGTGGCGCGAAAATGATAGACGGCAGCGGCGAGAGAAGCGGTGGAATTCCGGAAAATCGTTCGAGGAAGCACGTTGCATATCCATCCTGTTGTTCGAATCGCAGCGGCCGAATCCAACGATTGGGATAGCCGATGGGAAAGTCGAATGTTTTGCTGGTCGGAATCGTCACAACCAGAATTACTTCTTGTTCTTCCCTATGCCCTGGTAAGTATACTGATCTATCTTCCCTGCCATGTATTCTTAGTTACGCTTAATTACTAAACTAGAAATTAGTTAATCTTGATTACTAACGTAGCTAGTGAATCAATGCAGGAATATTTGTCAGCTTACTGAACATCAAGCGAGGAATGCCGAGAACTGGAAGCGGCTGCTGCTTCAAACTAGTACTAAAAATACCAGCAGAAGCAAGACTCAAAGTAGTACTCAGAATATCAGCACAAGTAACATCGATAATAACAGTACGAATACCAATACAAGTACTACTAGTAATGCAGCGGAAATGATCAGAGCAAAAGAAACAGTAAAGAAGACGAACAAGAAGGTCCAACAACAGCGACATAATAATAGCAAATTCGGCAGCAAATTCTCCAGCAACAGATTTGAAGCTTTGTTACTGGATGAGGATGGAGACAAAGACCGGCCATAGTTCGTCGATGGGGAGCTCTTGCTGCCTTTTATAAATTATTTCAGAGCAGAATTATTTTGTGGATGAACATCCTAAATCGAGTAGTTACCCAAGATAATTAAGATGTGTCTGCGGATAAGATCAATGAATGCCCAACAATAAGGACGTTTGTTGATGGTAGCTTGTTGGCAGGCTGAAACCGAAGTATTAAGCCAGATAGATTCCTCTAGTTGAGAAGCCGGTTGATGGGAATTCAGTTTCATTAGTATATTATTGCTAGTTCTTTCCTTTGTAGCAGAACTCATCGTCATCGATGCACTTAATAAGAAAGCCCATGGATTGTGGCTCTTGCTTGATACAATTTTTTACTTATCTTGATAATAAATCATAATTTAAGGACACTACAAAAATATCTATGGCAAGGATTATTTTCACTAATACCAAGGGTTTTAACCCCTACTACAAGATTTAGCAAGGATTTTGTCGACCCTTGTATCAACCCTTGCCAAACCTATCCCTGCTACACTTAACAAGGGTGTTCAGCAACCCAGGTGCAAGTCTCATGCAAGGGTGTTGCGTATATGCATATACGCTATTACCATATTTATTTAATTATTGTTATTTACATTATTGCCATTAGTCGATTAGGGTTAGATATCTATATAAACCCTTGTTATGTCATTTGGCCGATTATGTGAAGAATAAACCCTGAAGTTATTAGTTTTCTTTGTAGTTTATCATAGAAATAGATTAGATATCTACCAATTGGTATCAGAGCGGGGTTAATCATTACGATGGTTGATACCAGAACTGTGGCCAAGAATGCGGGCGAGAAAACAGAGAAACATGACACGAACACAGAGAGGCGGCTGCTTCGATTGGAAGAACAACAAGCGGCCAACACCACCAAATTGGAAGGGGTTGATGGTCGATTGACTTTTGTTGGCGATGAACTGACAAAGCTCACGGCAAATTATGCCTCAGTGACGTCCGAACTTTGAGAGCTCAAGGCTCTTCTCCAACAAGTTTTGTTGCGGCCTCAAATGGGATTGATGGAATCAAAATCACCGGAGGTTTCGCAGAAGGCGACTCAGGAATCAATATTGCCAAACAAAGTGTTGGGGCGACAGGAGAAGGTAAAGGCAGTCGCTGTCCCATCGATGGCCAGCGAGTCGCCGGCCAGGAAGCAAAGCAGCGGATTGGGAGCGGAGTCAATGGTGGTGTCGACTCCGCCGGCTGGGTTTTTCAATTAGGCGAGGCTACCGGGAAAGGGGCATTTGCGGGTGTTGGGCGTGCGTCGTTCTCAGCGTCTTCCTCAGCAACAATGGCACCAGAGGTTCAGCTCGATGGCGGCTTCAGGGATTCTGTTGCAGCGCCGATTGCGGGGCTCCATGGTGGCGGGTATCATGCGGAAGGCAAGGTGGAGAAGTTCCATCTAGGCGGCAGGGAGCATGGTGGAGCTTCCGTCAATTTTGGGCCATATAATGAAAATCCCCACCATTTTGGGCCCATTCCTTGGGGGCCAACGGAATTTGCAGGGGGATAATGGAGTAGGTTGTGGGTCTGGTTTGGCATGGGAAGCAAACCGGGCGGATCAAGGTTGGACTGAAGAGGTTCATTTCGAGCAGCAGGTCAGACCAATTCCCGGTAATTCAGGTACAACTTTGGGAGCTCCACTTCAGGGTGGGTTCGAGGTATTCGGGCGAGCAGGAGGATATGGGGTTTTGGGAGCCTTTCGCGCAAGACCGCCACAACTTGAATTTCCAAAATTCAACGGCCAAGACAACGCAACTGTTTGGATTTCTCAAGCTGAAAAATTCTTTAAGTATCAAGGAATATCGGAAGAACAGAAGGTTCCCTGGGCTGCATTTTACTTGGAAGGCGATGCTGGACAGTGGTGGCAGTGGCTCGAGTACGCCATGGAGACTTCTAGGGAAATGGTGACGTGGGAACGTTTTAAGGAAGAGTTGTCGTCAAGGTTCAAACCAGCTGGTAGGGGAGCGAGAGAAGAGAACCTTATGAAGCTTAGACAGACGGGGTCGGTTGACGAGCATAGGCTAGAGTTCGAGAAGTTGGCGTATCGCTGCAGAGGCTGGCCTGTTAGTACTCTAATTGATGCTTATTTGGCAGGCTTAAAACCAGCAACAGCTAGTGGAGTTCGTCAGTTTCAACCTCAATCGCTGCGAGAGGCAATTCAATCAGAAAGGGAAGGGAGGAGGAGTTGGAGGATATGCGGCTTGGGTTGGAGGCACCGGCGGCAGGGAAAGTGGCTGCACCAATGCGGGTACCACCCCAGGTTCCGTTCAAAACCATAAAGTGTACTCCAGCAGAGATCGCTCGACATTGCAGAGATGGACTATGCTTCAACTGCGACGAGCGATTCACGATTGGACATCGTCGCGCTGGTAAAGAGCTATTTTTGATGGTTGGCGTTTTCCCGGATCACGGATGAGATTAACCTTGGGGACAAGGTTATGCTAAAGGGGAGGAGATTTTTGTGTATATGCATATACGCTATTACCATATTTATCTAATTATTGTTATTTACGTTATTGCCATTAGTCGATTAGGGTTAGATATCTATATAAACCCTTGTTATGTCATTCGGCCGATTATGTGAAGAATAAACCCTAAAGTTATTAGTTTTCTTTGTAGTTTATCATAGAAATAGATTAGATATCTACCAAAGGGTTTGAACCAGTGATACATATAGCAAGGGTTAAAACTCTTGCTAAAACATGTTAGAAACCGAACAGAAAAATAGGGTTACCGATCTGGCTGAGTCGCGGACTAGGTCGCTCTCTTTAAGACGTTCGCGACACTGCCTCATAATTCACACAATAGACTATCATTCGGTCGCCTCCAGGATAAAACAGCCACTCTTTTGATTTGCTCAACGGTTTTGTGCGGAAAACCGGAGCTCTTTGAATCTCACTCTCTCTCCTGTTTCTGCTCTCTGAGGTGTGTTTAGAGGGGCCGGGGAGGCGGCTATTTATAGGAGCCAAACCCCTAGGAATATACCCTCTTGCTTGGGGAATAAGTCGGGTTAATTAAGGAAGATAATTACTTCCTTAATTAAAACTGTCGGTTAAGATAAATCCTGCGAGAATATTCCTTTTTAATCGATTATCCTTAGAATATTCCTCAAAATAACAGATTAATAATTAATTATTAGATAATTAATTTCTTTCGAAATTTCTCCAAAAAATATATATAAATCTCAAGTGAACCAACCAACCAACCGACTGACCGGACGGACGGCGCGCGCGCGTGTGTGGTGGTCCGTTAGGTCCTCCCTCTCCCACAAAAGTGGGTCACCCCAAGGGGCATGCCCTTAGGAGAGAGGCTCCTATCTTTATACACACATTTCACAAAGTAAAACTACCAATGTGGTAGTTTTTCCACTTGAGACTCTATAGCTTTCAAAGCTATTCATATATACATTTCCAACAATCCCTCACTTGAATACTTTTGAAACTATCTCTGAGCATCGACACTTCCATAAGATCGGGCATAAGCTAAGGTATCGCGAAGATTTAAACCTTAGCGTAGTGGTGACACTTCTGATTTCATAAGGGTGACTCGTAGTCTTGAACCCTATTTCAGACAGTGTAGCACACCGGATCTTTTCATTGAGTTGTATTCTCTCATAGGCCGTGCGTTTATGGTCATGCACGTTATCCCGGTTTAGTGAACTCTCTAGCAACTTTGTGCCTCCAAAGTTCCATAGGGAGCGGCCTCACTCCCACATTCACATAGGTGAGTCTATCAGGGGTACCCTTAAAGTAAAGTACTTCAACCTCCAAGGCTTTGGGATTCATGCTTCACTATGCATGAACTTTTCTCAATATTACTCATGACTTGTTATTACCCATTGAACCCGTTTCTTGGGATCTCCAGTCTATCGAGTCGGGTTACCATCACTTGTAATCCATGGTTCGGTAGGCATAAGTCTCATACCCTTCGTGGTATTTTGGACTTTTCTCTTTAGATAATCCTTTCGTCAAAGGATCAGCTAGATTCTGTTAGGATCTCACATGATCCACCTTCATTGCTCCTAGTGTTAGGAGTTCTCTTACAGTACTATGCTTACGACAAATTTGTCATCTCTTTTCGTTCTAGAACCGGTTCCCTTCTTTTGCAATAGTTGCGGTGCTATCACAATTAATCAACTACCGGAGGGATCGATCTTTCCCATAAGGGAATCTCTAGTAGTGACCCTCTCAATCAACTTTCCTCTTTACTAGCCATTGCTAGTTCTATCATTTTCGATTTCTTAGTTGATTGAGCCAGGATCGTATACTTCTTAGACTTCCAAGACATAGCTTCTCTATCGATGTTTAAAACACATCCTCTTGTTGTCTTGGAGTCCTCTATAGGGTATTCTAATCTGCATCACTATACGCTACCAATACAGCAAAACCTTTGATAACAAATACCAAGGTTTTTCTGTTCTTTTAAGGTGTCTCATGCCTCTCGCATACTGTAAATGCTAGTATATTCTAACTTTCTTACACCGTCTTAGGTGTTCTTTAAATATTTATACGAGCATCATCAAACCTGTATGCAGGAGTACATCTTGTATTTTCTTAGTTATTAGAATCTCTAAGCATAACATTTGTTTCATTCAGATCCTTCACATTCAAAATTCTCAACCATCATGGTTTTTCAATATTGACATCACGAGTCTTTGTACCAAAGATCGACGTGTCATTCATAATGCAAGTGTCATTCTCAAATTTGTACTAAATGCACTTGTCACTTTCACTTTTAAAGTCATGAGAGAGAACCAGTTTATCCATGCCATCGTCTTAGAGTCTATTTCAAATCTTACAATGATTTGTCTAACTATAGACTCCCTAAGCATGTTCAGGAATAACAACCCTATAGGTTGTCCCATGTTGATTTTCCTATCTAAATCACTATTCACATAAACATGTTTAACAATCCATCTGACGCACAACACTAGCAATCAGAACATACATGGATGTTATTCTACATATGGTGAATAGATAACAAGA